CTGAAATGAAATACTTGCTCCCATTGGAGCTGCCTAGCTGTTAACTCTTCAATGCTCTTTAACAGAAGCATTCTAGAAACTACAGTGTTTGCACTATGTATTTGTCTCAATATACAACGCGCAAGGAGTTCCCTGCATTTACCTATGACTGTACCGAAATAAAACAACCAACCTGCAAAAGCACAACAACAAAAGGAAACATGATAAAAACTGTTTGCTTTTTGGTAGAGCTACCATCATTTCACTCACCACTAAATTATTTAAATAGGAAATTAATGGTCAAGTTAACTTATGTATGAATTGGAAATACCATTCTCTACATCCCCATCCTTCGTGCTGAGCAATGCCTGCAACAAAACCTTAACCACACGTGGCATGCATCATTGCATGCCACCACTATTTATTTTGATAGATCCGTTTGGTGTATTGTGCGTTTACAAACCAAACTGAGCTGGAAGGGAATTAAGACAACACTGCCATATAAACATTACTGTTTGTTAATCTACCGCACCCTTCAATGGTTCAAAAATGACTCAATATGCATAGATGGTTCTTTCCTTGCCTTTGCTTGAACGTCGTGTGCTAGTTAGAATCACTACGTACTCAGCTTGTGCTTTGAGATAGCAGATGGATTCGGTTTTTGAATATACAGATTTGCCAGAGCCATCAAAGCTTCATATTAAAACAGGCAATTTATTAACAATAAAACTAAAGCACTCTGACCCCCCCAAAAAAGGGAGAGTTCAGAGTTATTAGCACAGTTTCACTGAGAGGCAGGCTCAGTATACCCTGCAATAAAGGTACCAAGTATCTATTGGTAGCAACAAACGTTCAGGGCATATAGCTAAACAAGTCAACGGCCAGATCACTAAGCAACCACCACCACCTACAGCCACGCACAACTCCCATAAACCCCTGCATCTCGCCATGCTCCCCTTCTCCACTAGGTGTCATCACTCAACGGCAGGCTGTAATTCTGTCTTGGAGCCACTCTGTTTCCAAGTGTTTCAGAACAAAGAGCAAAAGAAACAACTCCAAGGGATTCATCCCCCGCGATCAGCCACCTATCAAGCCTGTGGTCAGTCTGGTAGGAAAAGGAAGTATAGACGTAAGAGGGAGATACAATGGCTGGCCACTGCGGGGAAAGGAAAGGGAAGAGAAAAGTCATTAGCTTTTGGACTCGCTCTGGGTTTATAAGCCTATATGTGGGGAACAGCACCTCAGCGAAGAGTCCCACAAGACTCACTCACACGGGGGAAAGAATTAGGAGCTCCCATCTAGAAGCCACTCACAGGAGCTTCCATCTCAGGGACCACTGCACTCAAAGCTTTGCTCTTTAGATCTTCAACCACAGACCAAGCCCTCTAAGAACCTGGTTCTCTCTCTTTTGGATATATTCTTAAGTCAGACATCAAAGAGTCTCTTCTGCAATGCGGGACTAGGCACTCAGTGGTGACGATCCAGTCAACATCTTGACATCAACTACACGTGTCCTATGCCAATGAAACATGACCTCTATAGCATCAAGATAAAGAACAATTAATTATTCACATAAATAGGATGAAAAAGGGCACTGATCTGTCAATTCAGAGTGAGAATCTTCTGAAGTACCTAAATGATTTAGGAGTACTAGTCCCATTGACTGAGTCAAACTCCTAAAACACTTTTGAAAATAGCACGTAAGTATTTTTGAAAAAAAACTTTACTCATCTTAAAAGCTGATGATTTATTATGGAGATGGTCAGATTTCCTCCAAATCTTCTTGCTGAATATTTCATCTGATTTTGGATTCATACCGTAATCATGATAAAAAACAGTGAACCAACCATTGAAAAACAAAAACAAAAAACAAAAACGAACTGGTGAATGTCCAATTTCAACAAAACAGAAATAAATTGTTTGTTAAAGACAGAGAGCAATCAGTGACTAAGAAATGTAACTGAGCAACAGCATTTATTTCAACCCCTGTATTCAAAACCCTGAAATGATAAGGGCATTACTAGCCATCACCCAACAGGAAAAAATAATGGTGTCCTTTCTCGTGAGTTATTGCAACACTCTCAACACCTCTTGGTTTGTTTTTTGCTAGCAGATGAGAAAGTTCCGCAAGACAAATGTTGACGCAGTTAATAAGTGCTTCCTGTCAGTTTCCACTTCTCTGGTGGTGGTAACGCCTCTGAGCAGCACACGCTCAGACAAGCCCTAAATGAGAATGTCTCCATCCTTTGTTAGAGACAACGTGGGTGAGGTAATAACTTTTATTGGACCAACTTTGGTTGTTGAAAGAGACAAGCTTCACATAGCTCTTCTTCAGCTACTGTGACACTTTGAGTACCTTTCCCAGACCTGGAGAAGAGCTCTGTGTAAGCACAAAGCATGCCTCCTTCTCCAAGAGAAGTTGGTCCAATAAAAAATTATTACCTCACTCACCCTCTCTCTCTCTCTAATATCCTGGCACCAACATGGTGACACCACCACTCTATCCTTTGTTTTCTTTTTAAAGGAGAGCGATATTCCAAGCAGATACAGAACTTGCAAGAATAAACATCTACCAAGGACACCATTATTCCCATTTCTCTAGTTCTTCTCAACCATCTTTGATCTGGGGGAGGAGGGTAAGTGTGCAGTTAAATCATTTTAGGGGAAACCAACAAGCATGTAAAACCCAGCTCGGCAAGATGCAGCCGCTACAGGTCACTATTTATGTGAATGAGCCTTTCCATAGCTGGTATACATGACCCTATAATGGATTTATCAACATGTTCTTCATGGAATAGGACAACAGCTCTGGGGCAGGATGTGCTATCATGTAAAAGACTGAAAGCTCCCCAACTCAACTTCTGTAATACAAGAGGTTTTAACTCCCTGGCAACGGCATCCTGAGACTCCTTCTCTTAGATTCCAATCAAACCATCTTAGATTTTTGATAACCGAGCACCGAGTAACATTTTGACAGATCATTTCACATCCAGCGTGTGTAGCCGCCAACCCTTTTCTACACTAAGGTTTCAGGTCACAGCTGATAATACGATCTGATCTTTCAGAACACATTTAGCTTAGCGGAGAGACAGGAAATATTAGTCCTTCACCAGATTTTTCTGTTTCATCCAGAAAGACCTCTGAGCTTTCTGCTTTCAACTGCTGTACGTGAAATTTAGTACAAGGAGAAAGAGCTTTCAAAGTAAGGAATGGGGGGAAAAATCATTGGTTTAGCCTTGGAAAATTCATTTTTGTAGATTTTGTAATGAAATAGGAGATCTCACTGCAAGTCTCAGCCAAATCCCACAAGTCAGACAGCTGGTTCTTCTCCTAAATGTTTCCCAGAATGGCCATGGTGGTGAAAATGCAGGTGCAATGTCATACTACACAAATATTCAGAAATATCCAGCAGAACCATACTGTCCCCCCACCATCAGAGGGCACTGAGAAAAGAAACGTTGGGTAAGAACTCCTAAAGAACTGTCAGTGGCTTATATAAACTAGAGATGCTAGAAAGCACCATATAGTCAATCCATTTTCCTGCCTTAGCCAATGTTTGATTGTTCCCTGCAGCATGATATCTAGGGTTTCATTCGGCTTAGTTTTAAGTCTTCTCAGGCAACGAGACTTCAACTAAATGCCTTGTTGTCAAACTGACTTTAGACTTGAGTTAAAGGAAGCCAAAATAGTTAAGAGCAATTGTTTAGTTAAAACCTTGTCCTTTCAACGTCTCACCTCTTTAGAGCCAAACAGGGTCCTAGGCGCTGAAACGAAATCCAAAGCAGAGAGGGCTGTGCCTAGAAAGCAAAGCCCTGCATGCAAGAGGAAGACAACACTCAGATCTGGGAGTTATCAGACGGGAGTGAAACCTCTAGCTGGTAATAGAGGCAATCTCACCCACCCCCACTGCCCTGCTCTGACCTGGGTAACTAAAACAGAGAAGCAGCCTGCATTGTTCTGGAAAAACATTTCTCAGTGTTCCAGAACAGTATCTGAATGATACACAAGACACATGGGCAATATTTCCCAATAGGGACCAAGAGTAAACTTGTAGTTCCCCTGCTGAGCCATTTCATAGAAGGTAGTCAGGTCACTTCAGCTCCACCTCATGACTAGCGTAACCAGGGCAGGCCTGTTTATTTTTTGGCTTGGCAGAATTCAGGGTTTTTTTCCATAATATTGATGGATAATATCAATGTTTATTTTAAATATTTTGTCTATTTAAATTTCAACAGTTGTGGGAAATTATGGGGGATCAGACCATAATTATTTAATGACAGTAGACGTTGAGATTCAAACAATTAAAGCTTTATAAGCCGGCTGTTTTAGCCGAAGTGTAAATACCTGCTTTAGGCAGCATTCATTACGACGTGTTTTGTACACATTCAAGTGGGACTCCAGTAAGTTCTCAGCAAGATTTCTTACTTTGCCTATTTCTAAATTTTGATTACCACCAAGGGATTTTTTATTTTTTTTGCTGGTTTGTGCATGTGCACGTGCAGTGAAATCAACATTTACCGAAAAAAAGCGAATCCTTCCAATCCTATGTATTCTGCACAGTCTTCTACAGAAGAAATTTGAGCATCCTTAAGAAATGGGGCTCCTGTCCCTCCCCTTTGCAAGGATCACCTGTTAGAAACTGAATGGGAAAAGAAAAGGGAGGGGAGAAATGTTCACCCTCTCCCCCCAAGAAAGCACTCTCTTTTCTCTTGGTAGAAAGAACTGTGATTTTGGCTTTTGATAGAAGAGGGCTTTTGGGAACAGTTCTGAGAGTTAAGAAAAATTGTTTGACAAGGAAAAATCTTGCTGTATCAAGCTGCGTGTGAAACTGGGGAGGGAGGGTATGACCTGCTATCTCCAGTTGGAGCTAACAGACAGGTGAACACCACACAAATTGTATCATTTATTCCTCTGTCTGGCTCTCTCCAGGATTCCTGGAAAGTTTTGCTTGCTCAACCAGGTGCCGTTGTGCAGATCAACGATGTTTTTTTGAGGATGTATTTAAAAAAAAGTCAACATACCGGTGTGTGTCTGTCTGTGCGCCTCCAGGGCATCTTCTTTAGAGAACTGTGCACCACACTGATCACAGACAAACGCTTTGGCACCCGCTAGAGAGGGGGGGAAAAATAAAGAAAGAGCATATTATGAAGACACCCAGGCACAATATATGGCTTCAGATGATCCAAAGAAAATACAATCTATAAACATCTTTGTCAGAGAAGATATTGCAACAGGGACCATTTAATGTACAGCAGGAAGGAAAGACAGACACAGACAACTTTAAGGGAAGAGTCTCTGTGCCAAATAAAACCGTGTCAGACTCTTCAGAACACTGCAATTCATGTGGATTTTGTTTGTAATAAGCCAAACCAGAACAAGTTAAACAAGTCTATATCCAACATTGCTAACTAAAGCAGTATTCCAATCAGTATTTGATAATGCAATACCAATTATCCATGCTCAAGGATAGGATAGAGCAATTCTCTATGGCACCACTTTGTGCTATCATTGTGAAAGTGATACAAACTAGGATAATTTCCAAAAAGGGAGGAAGTGTTCGCTTTGTAGAACAGGAAATCCATTCAGTAGAAGGATCAAATATTTTGCACCTAATAAGATAACCCATAGATCCCAATTTATCCAGGAGCAGTGGGTCTTCTGCAGCACCAAAAGAATAAACACAACAAAAAGAAAACATACAGTCGTAGTAGCTCAGAAAAACAGCCTAATAATAAAATACACTATTAATATTACATCGCTCTTTAAAATCAAAGAGCTGCTTTCCAACAAATTAGATATTTGTTTAAAAAAATCATTAGACATCAGTGACTTTCACCAGAGTTGTAACTGATCTAATTTTAATTGGTTTTCCTGCACTCTCTGCCAATTGTAGCAGTTATTACCAGTATCTAAAGAAGAGAGGAAGGAAAGAACGCAGCAGCATCTGATAAGAAATGTGGCAGAAACAACACAATTTAGTGAAAGGCACAGATATTTCTCTGACTATTAGAGAGATGTGGTATTTGTGGGAATTCTTAGAAAATTGCTATCAACATGCACTGCATATAGTGGGTCAGAGGCTCTAGTTATAATGAGAAAAAAACAGGATGTCTAACAGCAGATAAGTAACTTACAGATAAAAATAGATTAACAATATACACAATCTTCTAAGCATATGCTGCCAGGACAAAGCTGTGACCGCATGTGTTAGATTTTGAAGTTTGATTCATCTGCTGTAAGAAAACTAAACAATGATTAGAGTATGACAAGGTAACCTTCAAGCTGGTATGATGCAGGGGAAAAAAGCCAGCTACCTCACTTGTTGTTTGTACCTTAGCTACATAGCTTCCCCGGCTACATTTAAAAGCGTTCCCATCATGAGACACCAAAATGCTATGTGGCTTATTTCCAGGAATTCAGAAGGCATTTCTCATCCTCATCCTGTCCCTCCAAATTTAATACAAAGAAAAGTACTTCACTGCCCCCCCTCAAAAATACAGGGCTTTAGAGAAAGGTACAGACAGAACAGGTTCAGAAAGACAGAGGTGCCGTGAGATCCATTAAACAGAGAATTCCTTTGCCTTTAAATTGTCTTAGTAACGGCTGGCTCACGGGCAGAAATATTTGGCAGCAGTGAAATTAAAAGTGATAAATTTTCTCGCCAAGCTTTGATCGATAATAGAGGTCTCATCTGTTAATCAATAAGACAGTCTGCCTGTTTACTGTGCATATGTTGTTCTCTGCTGCCTTCGGTATGATGTCAAGTTTGCATTCAAAACAACTCAACTGTGCATAAACCACATGGCTGTTCCCTAAAAAAAAAAGGCACTCCAGTGACATCATATAGCCGGTTACACATTTAGAAAGCCATTAATAGGCACTTGCTTCTTTCAGCTACATGCAATTTTTTGTAAGTGTATATATTTTTATTCAGGCGGATTATTTCTTAAGAGCTTCTTTATGGGATAGGACCTGAATACAACATAGATGTGACCAACTTGACTTCCAGCCAAGCTTACGCTACCCTAGTTCAAAGAGGAAGGAGATAAAGGGAACAAGCAAGGATAGGATGCCAGCTGCCCCTTTCCTCCACTAACAAAGTACTGCTTTAATAACAAACACAGCTCTATTACCAACATAATTAGAAAGGTCAGTTCTATTACAGTCTGTCATGCCAGAGATTACCCAGAGAATGTTTTGTTCCTGGATCATTGACCCAAAAGGCCAGTACAGTTCCTATTGGTACGGCACATGCACCGAATAGCCAAAGGCTGACATCTCTGAGACTTAGGGTAGACCAGTCTGATTGCAGACAAATGCCAGCTCGTTCTCAAGCCATTTACTTTTTCCTAAAACAGCACACACACACACAAAAAAGTGTGTAGTTCACATTTAACCCCAAGCATATGCTAATTTGTGGCAGGTTTTTTTGTTTGTTTTTTAAAGAAGATACACTTTTGGGTTCCTGCACATCAAATACAGCATGTCTGAAATGACTCACTTCTGTACTTGCTCTGCTCTTCTGGCTGGCCGCACTGCATTAGAAGCAGCAATATACGACAGGAGGAAGAATGCTAACAAGTTTGGGGCAGTCTGGGACAACTTCCTGCCATACCTAGAAAATGGATAAAATGATGCATGCAGTAGGCAGAAAGTCAGTTTGAGCGGATGGCGAGCCAAAAATGAAAACATGCATGCAGATGTATAGTAGGGCTTTAACAGCCCGATTCTCGGAGGGGCTCAAAACCCCAGACAGCCACGCAACTCAATGGTAGTTTAGGAATGCTCAGCAACTCTGAAAAATCAGGCCATTAATTTGATCAGATATAATAGTTTGCCCTAGCTTACGAATACAGACATGCATTGTTAGCAATGCAGCCCTGCCTTCCAGTGTCAATCAAGTGGTGTATCAGTTTAGTATTGGCTACCTCCATTGGAGGATTATATCCTGTACTCGAAGGGAAGGACATACTCTTTGGTCTAATAAACCCTTTCAGTCTCTAACTTCCCTGGAGCCTATGACATACAGAACACCTTATTGTTAGGTTTCTGTGCTGTTCTTTATTAAAATAAAAAGCTTTGATCAGCAATTGCACTGCACTGTCCAGGTTTAAATTAATACAGCCCAGTTCTATAAACTCTTGGGAAAGCAATCGGTGAACAACGGATAGGCCAAGGTATCCTGAAGTATGAAGCCACTGAACAACGTGCAATGAAAGGAAAGTTTGGCCAAAGCCTTCAGAAACATCTGTAGTAAGAAGCATGTATTAACTTGCACTTAGAATACAGATTTGTTTGGTTAATAATGGGCAAAAAAATTTCAAAACCACTTTACATAACTCGTGTCAATGGGAGTTAAGCCCCCGAGTTACATAGGCACTTCTGGAAATTTTACCCGCTGCACATAATGTACAGTAAACAGTCACTGGGGCAACAAAACTACTCAGATGTGTCAAACTCCTTCAAACCCCCAATGGGAGGCACTACCCCGGAAGTTACATCAACCCGATACAGCAGCAAGTTTCACCAACATACCACATCAGCTAAGACAGCACAGTAAATAGGTCATCACTTAAACACCTTCAAGTCATTTTCCGCTTGTCCTGGACACCATTAAAACCTTGATGTTCACTGCTCATGGCTGTATTTGCAGCATTCCCTGACCCAAGTGTAGCAGTGTTGTCTCTTTTACCCATGTGGAAGATAAAGTTTCCTGATTGGGAAGGTCCTTCTTTAGTCTCAAGATGTTTATCAAGGGTCAGGAGCAGGTGAGTCAGGACACTGTATGTGCCAAAGAGATCTGACCGGGACCGCTACAATGCTGTGTGACCAGGACACAAACCAACCCACAAGGCTGTGATGCTACCCAAGCCTGACCGCAGACTCTTGTTGGGCTGGAGAAGCAAACAAGCCAACCACCACCACCCCATCTTCAAAGGAGACGAGAACCATCAAGACAAGATGGGAGACAGGCAACACTAGAAAAATCTTATTCATTTTTGCAAGCTCAGTAGGCAGTTTTTGCAAAGCAACAGAAAAATGCTCCCCATCTGGGAGAAGTTGGCTCATGTCCTTGGACATGCCTGGGGTATGGCTACTGCTAACCCCCATATGCCACCCAAAAACCCACCAACAAAAATTGTGAGATGTAACTGGAATGAAAAAGGGGGGGGGGGGAGAATCTCAAAGACTAATATTACAAATGCAAAACAAGAAAATAAAGAGCTTGCCAGCATCTAATGGAGGGTTTGAAAAATTCCTTGAGATTTTAAAATAAACATCTTGAATGTTCTGATGAGATATGCATGCTTGGTTACATAAGGAAGTACAGAGTGTACCAAAACAGCATACCCAAAAAAAGCATAAGCTGTCAGAACAATAAGTACAGACATAGGGCATTTTACAACAGCCTATGCCGTACAGTTTTATTTACAGTACCTCTTATCAGTCAGGGAACAGTACACTGCCTGCCAATTTCAAAAGGCCAGTACTGTGTGTTCTTTCACTCAAGTAGATGTGTACTCCAGGCAGGGAATTTTTTTTTAAATCAACAAAACAAAAATTGATACAGAGCCAGAATTCCTGTAACGTACACATGCTCGGGCGGGAGAAGGGGGCAGAGAGGAGAAGAGAATGCAGTGATTGAGCATGTAAATAGTTCAAGGTTAATTTTAATATGTGAGTCACCAGGAAAAATGTCATCCAACATCTGCGCTTATTATAACAGGGTTTAGAAAAAAATTGAGATATTTATTAAAGAGAGCTCTGGAGATGCCATGCTTAAGAGCAATACATCAAAAAGGTTCTGGTGTTACTTAAGAAAACACCTATAGAAACTATTAGTCCATTAAAATGTAAATATTGTTTGGGGTATTTTTAGTAAGGGGTTTGCATTGCCTACAGTATATATCATCAGATGATCTATCCAACGGGATGGAACTTAGCGTGCTGCCAAGGGTCAGCTGTGATGGAGAACATGCCTTGTAACTGGCACAGAAGTCTCAGAGGCTTACATTTATATTTGTGCAAGTAAATTTATAGCCTGGCCTAATAAAGGTCCATGCTGCAAAGGACTGGCATAAACATACAACGGAGCGGCTGCTTTTTC